TTCATCAGCACTTTAAAATGTAACATTTTAATAATGTGGGTGTAAAACCTGTGGGGCATGCAACTGAACAGTGAAAGTATTTTAGAAGACAATTTGATGATGCACAAATTCCAATTTGTTAATAGCTTATTTTTTACAGTTTAGAGGGACACACTGTTTTTCTACTAACATGTAAGTCTTTCAATTATTAACAAGATAAAAATTGTTTATGCCAGATGAGTGCTATTACAAAACATATTCATATTTATTATGAGCTTGTGAGTTTTTTAGGATATGAAATTCTTTTTACATTATTCAATAATAAAATCGATATGTGTGCTAGTTCTTACCTTTGAGTATGCTAACCTTACAAATTATTTCATTTTTAATGATGAAATGTGCAACCAAAATTAGACATATCTGTCCTTTCACTGTCTCAAATCCCAATTAACGTCAACAAAGAAAGTACTTTTCATCCAGAATTTTTGTTTAAATACAATCCAGTGGAGTCACAGGTAATTCCTGTCACTTCCACACTAATTATTACCATTTCTTTGTCCCCAGATTTTCAAATTTTCAAAGGTAGAGCTCTTCAAAAGTATCAGTAATACAAATTAACATGAAGAATAAAGTGCCATTTGGTTGAGTGTAAATACAGAGGCATGCAGGCAGACTAAGAGTCAGATACGACTTGATAAAATAATCACTAAAACACAATATATATATTTAATATTATCTGCAGTAAAGAATCAAATGAATCCTTAACTAATAAATGTATCTATTTCTGTATTTTATAAAAAGCAAAAACTTTTTAAAATGGATTATGCATTTGATATTAAATATAATTCAATAAGTTTCATGCATTTTTACATCTCATAAGCTGCTTTAAATATAATGGTTCATTTGATATTGATTTTATAATTTGATTTTATCTGATAAATTAGCCAAACTACAGATCTACAGATTAGCCAAAAAGTCTGGAAATAAGTGAATACACATAATAAATGGTTTATTGATTATATTATATTACAATAAATAATATCAGTGTTATTCCATGTCAGCAATGCATGATATACTTAATGCACTATGCAAATTTGCAATGAATGCAGTGCATTAATACACACTTATTAATACAGACATTTTCCAGCCTTTATGGTCACTCTGTAGCAAAACTAATAGATTATATATTAAAAACTAAAATAATAAATTATTCTAATATTAGTGTTGTTTGTTTGAGTGTGAAAGTTTTTATTTTTCTTTACAATTTCCATTATTCATATTCATTTTTTGTGAGTTATATAAGAGTAGTTATAATAATATAAAGTTAAGAATTTGTTTTGTAACAAACAATAAATTAATTTGCTAACTGCTTCAACAATTTTTATTCCATAACATTTTTTTCTTGTCCAGGATACAAATTTTGTTAAATATTTTATTCAGATAATTGTTGTTTTTGCTAATTTACAACTTTGTCATTGATAACTTGAAGATATTGATTAATAATTAATATTTTACTATATAAATTGTATATTACACCAGCTTGAAAAATATCAAAACGGTGATTTTGGATATTGTCCTAGAGTCTATTGCGAAAATCAGCCAATGTTACCTATTGGTGAGTGAATATTTTAATTACCTATTAGTGAGTGAGAAAATTGTTGCATTGCTAGCGTTATTTAATTTTTATTGATATACTTAACAATAAATTTAGGATTATCGGATGTACCTGGTGAAGCTATGGTTAAATTATATTGTCCTAAATGTTTGGATGTTTATAATCCCAAATCTTCTCGTCACCATCATACGGACGGTGCTTACTTTGGTACAGGTTTTCCTCACATGCTTTTCATGGTTCATCCAGATTACAGACCAAAACGACCATCAAATCAATTTGTTCCGAGGTAAGGTTTTACCTAATGGTGTTAAATAATAATTACTACAAATTTTCTTAATTAGCCAACAGCAAATGATGATAGTTTTTTTTTATGATTATGAATTTACAAACTGAGTAAAAATATAATTTCAAAACATTTATTAAATCTATATATTTTTAGATTATATGGCTTCAAGATACATCCTTTGGCTTATCAACTTCAACAACAAGCTGGTGTAAATTTTAAAACACCAGTGAGGACAATGACCTTTAATAACGGGAAACGTTGACAGTCTGTTCTGGAATGATAAAGATTACACATTTAAGTTTCATGTGCAACCCATGGGTTACAGTCATCATTTTAATTCCCAGGCTTTATTGTTGATTTTTCTCATTTACATAAATTCCAAGATATAAAATGTAAATAGTAAAATGTCAGATGCTTAAACGAAAAAGTTAGAAATATTTCAGTTTTCATTAATGTAACTTTATTTTATTTTATTATTTTTTTTTTAGCATTTATTAATATGAAACTTAACAAACTAATATAATTTTAATTTATCATCAGTATTTAAGCTTGCAATTCAGGTAAAATGAGCATTATGCACCAATAGAAAAATGTACTAAATGTTACCAAAAGATAAAATTATATTTGAAAATTTCTTTTAAAATGTTAAATCATTATTATTACTATTAATTAATGTAACTTCAGTAAATTAATTTAACAAAATTACATTTGATTTTTGTTTCAAAAGAGTAAATATTTATCAGAATTTTAACAAATTTTTGTTTTATAATAGGATTAATATTTTAGATTTTTATGCAACCAGTAATTAAATAATAGTAAGTATTCTGTGCATTTAATCTAATATATGGTAAAAAAATGATTTAGAAAAAATATCTTGGATTTGTATTTTTCGAAAAAGAAATTGAAGACATTACAGCCTTTGTAATTAAAAGAAAATTTGATGACAAATAGTAATTAGTTTCTTTCTGATTTCTAATTTAAAAAGGAAAAAGTATTTGTTTAAAAATCTAAAGAAATAATAAGACTGTACTTTGGAAAGGATTATTTTATCTAATTTATTTTTGAAAAAATATTTTTTCTAAATTATTGCCTTTTTACAAAAAACCAGTTGAAATACAGAATATGCATCAGATCTAGAAAATGTAATCATGATATACATCATTTTGTTTATTGGCATTATACAGAATTTTTAAAAGCAGTTCTAAATATAACTGTGTAAATTGGAAGGTAAATAAAAATCATCTTGTGTAATTTCCATAGTTTAATGATTTCACCTAAAATGTTACATATAACTTATGTTTAATATATGGAAGTGGTGGAAAGTTTGTAACTTTACCCGACGTGACAGCAAAAGCCACACTACAAGAATAATAGAAAGAATTTGTCATTGCTTTCGCCATACCATAAGAGTCCATTACAACCAATAATTTGCTTAGTTTGACAATTTGAATTCATGATGGCTGCACCAAGACTATAATTAAGCAACATTGATAAGTCTGTGGTCATGTTGTTCCTGAAAAAGAAAGGAGCTTACATGATTCACTCTAAGATGCTAGCAACTCTAGGATAAGACTGCTTTTCCCTTAGTGGTGAAGAAATGTGTGGTACATTTCAAAATAACAAATGAGCTGTGCACTAAACATCAGGGGAGACTGAGTCAAGGCAAGCTTTTTCTGCAAGACAATGTCCTTGCCCACACAGTCCTCCAACTATGCAAAAAAGCAAGTATTTTGGGTTCATATTGTTGGATCATCTAGCCTATTTACTGGATTTTACCACCTCAGATTATCTCTTCCCAGCTTTAACGAAACACCTTAAGGGACGATTTGCTTCTGATCAGGTGGTCATTAAGGCTGCAGAGGATTTGTCCTTTTTGAAGGAACATTGTAATAAGTGTGTAGAATTGAGGAGTGATTATGTTGAATAAAATATATTTGGCTTATCAAATTTCTCTCTTCTTCTAGGAAGAATCACAAACTTTTCAGCACTCCATCATATATTTATATTCAAGTCAGTGTTTTCCAATATGTCAATTTGCAGACCAATACTGGCTTATATTACATTTTTTTAAGCTACATTTGCTGAAAGAAAAAATTTTTATTTCTCAATAAACCAGTATGTGTAAAAATTGCCTGATATAATTTAGATTCTTTGGCAATGACATCAAATAAGAACTAAATATGGAAACTAGTTGACTCTTCAAATCACATTTTGAGTTGCTTGATGGTCCAATTTTTCAGTTATGACAATATGTAGAATTTATTTTGGGGAAAAAGTTATTTACAATGTAGTAACTTATTAAACTGTGCTATTTATAATTATTATATTCCTATTCTTTTGTTTTACTTTGTCATTTAATTTTTTTGGGAAGTGATGACAGTAGTAGTTATATAGTCTATGATGTCTAAAAGTCTTCATAGCTTAAGTCAGTGGTTCCAGTTTAAACAGTCATAATTACCTTAAGTTGAAATTCTGAGTATCACGAATTAAGTTTTTGTTGCTTTGTCATTATTGTGAGCTTTATCCAGTTGGATGAAGGTCACAGATTCTTTCTCAGAATAACATTTTTAAATGCATAAAATAAAATTACAAAAGAAACCAGTTATATGTACTTATTTTAATAACTATTTCTATATATTACTATATCATATGTTTGTTGTTGTATATTATTATGGTAATATATGTATACTCTTATTAATTATTTATTATTATCAAAAGAAAATTATTGTATAATCACTTTGCATGCAAAGTGCTTAACACAATAATTAACAATTTCACACAATAGCATAAAATTAAGATAAGGTTGATTTTTACCCTTTGAAGCCCACAGACCCCTTAAAACTTTCTGTGGACCCCTGATTAAGAACCACTGTTCTAGATGGATCTTTACAATAGTTTTCTGGCTATAACTAAGTTCATAGAATGTACAGACTGCAAAATAAAAGATTAAAGAACTTTGTCATTTTGCCATTATAGTATCTTCAGAACCTTACAGATCACTTTATTGTAATAAGGCATATGTTCATCAAACTGTTAGAGAATTTAAATAATAATTCTGTCAAATTTAAAATCTGAAAGAATATATTTGGTTTTTATATACAAGAAATGATCAATAATACATTTTAATGCTCTAAATATATATTTATTATGCTTAATTGGTATAATTACATAAAGGATCGTATTATTGAGATGCCACTGTCGTCGTCATAAGCAGTTAAGATTCAAAATAAACTTTTATTCGCATTTGTATAGAATTTTGATGTATTTAACATCATTTTCAGTCAAAGATGATTTTTCATGAACTTCTTTCAAAACACTTTGACCTTTCTTGGGTTTCATTGTGAATGATGACCTATCTTTAGAAAAAGATGTGGAACCATAATGCATTACTGTGTCATAACTGTAATTTGTCAACAGTCTTATCCCATCTGCTTTATATTTCTTAAACTGGCTTTTGGCATCTTTTAATATGAATAAAATATTTTTAGTATTTAAAAAAGCTTACGTGTAGGTAAAATATAACATGGTACTAACTTGGCAGAAGATTACTTTCGATGATTTCAATATACTCGTCTCTGTCGGGTCGATTGTGTTCGTGATAAAATCCGAGAGCGTGACATAGCTCGTGAAAGAGTATACCTTTATTTAAGCAACCAGTACCCAGACTGAGTTGTTGTCGTCCTCCCATCATCCCAACTTTAGAATGACACCTGAAAAATAAAATTCTAAGCTATAATTTTGCTAAGTAAACTTATAAGNTTTTCTATATCTGTAATTATTAAGTCTTCTGTGGAATAGTAATAAGTTGTGTGAAAAATTATTGTGTAATTTTATACATTTATTTTATAACAACAATATTATAGTAAACCCCTGCCAACTTAGACTAATAGGAGGTGAAGGTTGTTTGAGTTTATGAAATTCCAAGTTAGTGGGAACCCCAATAATGTGGAAAATAACAAAGTGGATATACAGGACAGTTATTTATTACAATCAGCTCTATACAGAAGTTTCACTGAGCTGAGATTACACTGCTGAATTTATTATTATAAGAAATGAGCTCAAAATATTTCATGACAGTACAATGTAAGCAATGTACAGTCTTTTGTAACTTATTAACTATAATAATTTACACAGTATTACAAGGATTTCCAGATACCAAAAACACTCATTAATTATAATTTTTCTAATTTTGTCAAGAAATTTTAAATTACTGTTTTGAAAAAATTTGTCAGTTATGCAAAGTCCAAAATTAGCAGAGGTTTACTATATTTTAAGTAAATTGTTTGACCTTGTATGTATTTTTTTTAACATATATAATAATCGTTTTTATTTGTTTATAGAATAAAAACTAAAACTTGTTTGTGAACTAACTGAATTTTTGATTAGTTACCTAATTCTCTATCAGATTTTTATCATTAATGCTCTAATGTATCATGTTTTCCCGATAAAGGTAAAAGTATGTATCTAGTTATTATTAACTAAAAATTATAAATCATACTTATATTTGTGGTTTAAATGATGCTTTTCTTTATTATTGATTTCAATTCAAAATAACAGATAAAAAATTAATAAGCTGTTTAAAGAATATTTTATATGTTTTGATAATGCAGTTTATAACTACGTAAGACAGAAATAATCACTGGATTAACTAATTGCTTTAATCAAATAAAGAAGCCAAACAAGATCATTGCAGTAATGAGCAGGAATTGATTGACTGTAGATAAATAAAATGCATTAAGAAAGAATCTTTACTTGAATTATTATATTTCATTGATGTTTTTAAACATTTTTTTTTTTTTTCCATTATTAGTGTGGGGATGGAAACTATCAAACATACATTAACAAACACAATTGAAAAAGTGTGAAAAAAATGATATTCTCAACATTGAATTGATATTATAAGAAACATTTAATAAATTTAAAGATATTTTCAAAAAAATTTTTTAATTTTCTGCACATCTTTTCAATTCAATAGTTTAGTTTACATTAATCTATATGAGTTAACTGATTGGAAGATCTTATTGACAAAACAATGTAAACAATGAATGACACTGTCAAAAGTATAGATATATTGATCCTGTAAATGATTGACTGTAATTTTGTTAGCATTATAAATAAAATTAAACTTCTTATTCCTGTGTTGATCATATTTCTTTTTTAAGTATACTCTTGCTAATTCAACCTCTGTTTTAATCTGATCACTTTTATTCTATCTTCTGCTAAATGCTCAAGCTGAAAACAGGAATCATAGATCATTTTTAAAAACATATCAGATTTGTAAGATAAAGATTGAAAATCCTTAACAAAATATATGGATTTTTAGTCTCTGTATTAAAAAGAAATTTTTATAAATATCCAACTTTTAAACAATTTGCATACATATAAAGAGAAGAGAATCTACAAAGAAAAGTTGAATCTGTTAGTATTAATTGTGTTTTTGTGATTGTCAATTGACATTTAGTAAGACTTCAAAAACTTCTTAGTTTTGTATTTTGTTTTTAATCTTTATTTTACAAATTTAAGTTAAAATTATTTCAGATTAAGTGAACACAAACTTATATTTAACTGAAAGTCATTACATATTATAATCTATAGATCTAATACAAAATAAAATTTTTGTTTATTACAGTGGAACCTCACTTAATGAGCATAATTCATTCCAGAATCTTATTTGTAATGCAAAACATTCATTAAGCAAAATAATTTTTTCCTATAAATTAATGTAAAATATGATAATGTGTTCCATGCCAAAAAAAATGCTCAAATATTTTATGTATAATGTTTATTCAAAAAAAATTATACAATATACACTGTTAAGGAGCATAAATCATCATCATCTTTTCTCATTATCTTTTCTTCTAGTGCAGAATAAACCAACCTGGAATGCAAATTTGATTTGCAGAAAACAAAAAAAAATTGAAATTTAATTTGGAATTGGTCATTAAATTTAATATGAGATGGCAACATAACTGCCTATCTTTAGACAAATTATTTAATTTCTAATATTTAATTATAGCCTTTACATAGCCCAAGAATTTGGCATATCATTTGGCATGTTTATTATATAACGGGCTATGGTTGTTGATGTTTATATACAGTGCCGTAACTAGGCAGGTGCAACAGGTGCACCCGCACAGGGCCCGCTTGAAAGAGGGGCCCAAAATGCATGNTTAAAATATTTGTTTCAGCTAGCCCATTTAAATATAAGTTTTGTCAGTTGGATTTTTTGATATTTATATTAACTGGTATTGCAATAACATTAATTATTACTCAACACGTCAACAAATAAAATCAGAGGATTGTTTTTATTCATCTTATGTTTGAAAATCTAATTTTTTAAATGGTTAATTACAATAGAAACATGTTGAAACATTAGAGGTTGAGAATATTGCCTATTACAGAAAAGTTTAATGTCATCTTCTGTTTGTCACTTTGACCTTCCTCCTGTATTTTTGCCTGAATGATTGATTAAAACATTTTGATTTTCATTTTTAGATGATGAACTTGAAGACAATCCAAATCAAAGTGATCTTATAGAACAGGCAGCTGAAATGTTATATGGTCTCATTCATGCTCGATACATTCTTACAAATCGTGGAATTGCCCAAATGGTATGATTCTAAATTTGTCTACATTTTTAATTTATAAATAACAATAAGCATTAAAATTTTAAGTGTTTTAGATTTATTTATGCATTCATTTATAATAATAAATTAATACAGATATATTCATATTAATAAGTTGAGGATATAAACTTATCAAATTCTTAATAAGACTGCATCAAAAACTTTCAGATTTGTTATATTTTATTATATTTATATTACCAGATTTTATGGTTATATATATTGATACAGACCATTCCAGAAAAATTTTTATATCTGTTGAAAAAATGCAAGTCAATAATTATAGATTGTATACAATGTATAGAAATAACAGTATATTCAGTGATTATGTCCAATTAATATAAGTATTTTTAAAGAGATAATATTTGACTATGTGATAATGACAAATTAAAGACTAATCTTTGTTATTATGGATGATCATAACATATTTTTCCTATTAATACAGGACTAATGATAGCTTATAATGATATGGTCATACAGATGTGCAGTTAAAAGAGGACTGCAGAAGTTACAAAAAGTAATAGTTTTATTTGTGAATTTTAATTTAAAATTACAATATATAATAATACTTGGAGATGTTTTGCCAATCAATATAACTACAGTTGAAGGAAGATTGATGGAAAAACAGTATATCTCCATTAGGAAGTTCTTGAGAAAAAGAAGGATTTGTGTTTCAATTCATCAGCACTTTAAAATGTAACATTTTAATAATGTGGGTGTAAAACCTGTGGGGCATGCAACTGAACAGTGAAAGTATTTTAGAAGACAATTTGATGATGCACAAATTCCAATTTGTTAATAGCTTATTTTTTACAGTTTAGAGGGACACACTGTTTTTCTACTAACATGTAAGTCTTTCAATTATTAACAAGATAAAAATTGTTTATGCCAGATGAGTGCTATTACAAAACATATTCATATTTATTATGAGCTTGTGAGTTTTTTAGGATATGAAATTCTTTTTACATTATTCAATAATAAAATCGATATGTGTGCTAGTTCTTACCTTTGAGTATGCTAACCTTACAAATTATTTCATTTTTAATGATGAAATGTGCAACCAAAATTAGACATATCTGTCCTTTCACTGTCTCAAATCCCAATTGACGTCAACAAAGAAAGTACTTTTCATCCAGAATTTTTGTTTAAATACAATCCAGTGGAGTCACAGGTAATTCCTGTCACTTCCACACTAATTATTACCATTTCTTTGTCCCCAGATTTTCAAATTTTCAAAGGTAGAGCTCTTCAAAAGTATCAGTAATACAAATTAACATGAAGAATAAAGTGCCATTTGGTTGAGTGTAAATACAGAGGCATGCAGGCAGACTAAGAGTCAGATACGACTTGATAAAATAATCACTAAAACACAATATATATATTTAATATTATCTGCAGTAAAGAATCAAATGAATCCTTAACTAATAAATGTATCTATTTCTGTATTTTATAAAAAGCAAAAACTTTTTAAAATGGATTATGCATTTGATATTAAATATAATTCAATAAGTTTCATGCATTTTTACATCTCATAAGCTGCTTTAAATATAATGGTTCATTTGATATTGATTTTATAATTTGATTTTATCTGATAAATTAGCCAAACTACAGATCTACAGATTAGCCAAAAAGTCTGGAAATAAGTGAATACACATAATAAATGGTTTATTGATTATATTATATTACAATAAATAATATCAGTGTTATTCCATGTCAGCAATGCATGATATACTTAATGCACTATGCAAATTTGCAATGAATGCAGTGCATTAATACACACTTATTAATACAGACATTTTCCAGCCTTTATGGTCACTCTGTAGCAAAACTAATAGATTATATATTAAAAACTAAAATAATAAATTATTCTAATATTAGTGTTGTTTGTTTGAGTGTGAAAGTTTTTATTTTTCTTTACAATTTCCATTATTCATATTCATTTTTTGTGAGTTATATAAGAGTAGTTATAATAATATAAAGTTAAGAATTTGTTTTGTAACAAACAATAAATTAATTTGCTAACTGCTTCAACAATTTTTATTCCATAACATTTTTTTCTTGTCCAGGATACAAATTTTGTTAAATATTTTATTCAGATAATTGTTGTTTTTGCTAATTTACAACTTTGTCATTGATAACTTGAAGATATTGATTAATAATTAATATTTTACTATATAAATTGTATATTACACCAGCTTGAAAAATATCAAAACGGTGATTTTGGATATTGTCCTAGAGTCTATTGCGAAAATCAGCCAATGTTACCTATTGGTGAGTGAATATTTTAATTACCTATTAGTGAGTGAGAAAATTGTTGCATTGCTAGCGTTATTTAATTTTTATTGATATACTTAACAATAAATTTAGGATTATCGGATGTACCTGGTGAAGCTATGGTTAAATTATATTGTCCTAAATGTTTGGATGTTTATAATCCCAAATCTTCTCGTCACCATCATACGGACGGTGCTTACTTTGGTACAGGTTTTCCTCACATGCTTTTCATGGTTCATCCAGATTACAGACCAAAACGACCATCAAATCAATTTGTTCCGAGGTAAGGTTTTACCTAATGGTGTTAAATAATAATTACTACAAATTTTCTTAATTAGCCAACAGCAAATGATGATAGTTTTTTTTTATGATTATGAATTTACAAACTGAGTAAAAATATAATTTCAAAACATTTATTAAATCTATATATTTTTAGATTATATGGCTTCAAGATACATCCTTTGGCTTATCAACTTCAACAACAAGCTGGTGTAAATTTTAAAACACCAGTGAGGACAATGACCTTTAATAACGGGAAACGTTGACAGTCTGTTCTGGAATGATAAAGATTACACATTTAAGTTTCATGTGCAACCCATGGGTTACAGTCATCATTTTAATTCCCAGGCTTTATTGTTGATTTTTCTCATTTACATAAATTCCAAGATATAAAATGTAAATAGTAAAATGTCAGATGCTTAAACGAAAAAGTTAGAAATATTTCAGTTTTCATTAATGTAACTTTATTTTATTTTATTATTTTTTTTTTAGCATTTATTAATATGAAACTTAACAAACTAATATAATTTTAATTTATCATCAGTATTTAAGCTTGCAATTCAGGTAAAATGAGCATTATGCACCAATAGAAAAATGTACTAAATGTTACCAAAAGATAAAATTATATTTGAAAATTTCTTTTAAAATGTTAAATCATTATTATTACTATTAATTAATGTAACTTCAGTAAATTAATTTAACAAAATTACATTTGATTTTTGTTTCAAAAGAGTAAATATTTATCAGAATTTTAACAAATTTTTGTTTTATAATAGGATTAATATTTTAGATTTTTATGCAACCAGTAATTAAATAATAGTAAGTATTCTGTGCATTTAATCTAATATATGGTAAAAAAATGATTTAGAAAAAATATCTTGGATTTGTATTTTTCGAAAAAGAAATTGAAGACATTACAGCCTTTGTAATTAAAAGAAAATTTGATGACAAATAGTAATTAGTTTCTTTCTGATTTCTAATTTAAAAAGGAAAAAGTATTTGTTTAAAAATCTAAAGAAATAATAAGACTGTACTTTGGAAAGGATTATTTTATCTAATTTATTTTTGAAAAAATATTTTTTCTAAATTATTGCCTTTTTACAAAAAACCAGTTGAAATACAGAATATGCATCAGATCTAGAAAATGTAATCATGATATACATCATTTTGTTTATTGGCATTATACAGAATTTTTAAAAGCAGTTCTAAATATAACTGTGTAAATTGGAAGGTAAATAAAAATCATCTTGTGTAATTTCCATAGTTTAATGATTTCACCTAAAATGTTACATATAACTTATGTTTAATATATGGAAGTGGTGGAAAGTTTGTAACTTTACCCGACGTGACAGCAAAAGCCACACTACAAGAATAATAGAAAGAATTTGTCATTGCTTTCGCCATACCATAAGAGTCCATTACAACCAATAATTTGCTTAGTTTGACAATTTGAATTCATGATGGCTGCACCAAGACTATAATTAAGCAACATTGATAAGTCTGTGGTCATGTTGTTCCTGAAAAAGAAAGGAGCTTACATGATTCACTCTAAGATGCTAGCAACTCTAGGATAAGACTGCTTTTCCCTTAGTGGTGAAGAAATGTGTGGTACATTTCAAAATAACAAATGAGCTGTGCACTAAACATCAGGGGAGACTGAGTCAAGGCAAGCTTTTTCTGCAAGACAATGTCCTTGCCCACACAGTCCTCCAACTATGCAAAAAAGCAAGTATTTTGGGTTCATATTGTTGGATCATCTAGCCTATTTACTGGATTTTACCACCTCAGATTATCTCTTCCCAGCTTTAACGAAACACCTTAAGGGACGATTTGCTTCTGATCAGGTGGTCATTAAGGCTGCAGAGGGTTTGTCCTTTTTGAAGGAACATTGTAATAAGTATGTAGAATTGAGGAGTGATTATGTTGAATAAAATATATTTGGCTTATCAAATTTCTCTCTTCTTCTAGGAAGAATCGCAAACTTTTCAGCACTCCATCATATATTTATATTCAAGTCAGTGTTTTCCAATATGTCAATTTGCAGACCAATACTGGCTTATATTACATTTTTTTAAGCTACATTTGCTGAAAGAAAAAATTTTTATTTCTCAATAAACCAGTATGTGTAAAAATTGCCTGATATAATTTAGATTCTTTGGCAATGACATCAAATAAGAACTAAATATGGAAACTAGTTGACTCTTCAAATCACATTTTGAGTTGCTTGATGGTCCAATTTTTCAGTTATGACAATATGTAGAATTTATTTTGGGGAAAAAGTTATTTACAATGTAGTAACTTATTAAACTGTGCTATTTATAATTATTATATTCCTATTCTTTTGTTTTACTTTGTCATTTAATTTTTTTGGGAAGTGATGACAGTAGTAGTTATATAGTCTATGATGTCTAAAAGTCTTCATAGCTTAAGTCAGTGGTTCCAGTTTAAACAGTCATAATTACCTTAAGTTGAAATTCTGAGTATCACGAATTAAGTTTTTGTTGCTTTGTCATTATTGTGAGCTTTATCCAGTTGGATGAAGGTCACAGATTCTTTCTCAGAATAACATTTTTAAATGCATAAAATAAAATTACAAAAGAAACCAGTTATATGTACTTATTTTAATAACTATTTCTATATATTACTATATCATATGTTTGTTGTTGTATATTATTATGGTAATATATGTATACTCTTATTAATTATTTATTATTATCAAAAGAAAATTATTGTATAATCACTTTGCATGCAAAGTGCTTAACACAATAATTAACAATTTCACACAATAGCATAAAATTAAGATAAGGTTGATTTTTACCCTTTGAAGCCCACAGACCCCTTAAAACTTTCTGTGGACCCCTGATTAAGAACCACTGTTCTAGATGGATCTTTACAATAGTTTTCTGGCTATAACTAAGTTCATAGAATGTACAGACTGCAAAATAAAAGATTAAAGAACTTTGTCATTTTGCCATTATAGTATCTTCAGAACCTTACAGATCACTTTATTGTAATAAGGCATATGTTCATCAAACTGTTAGAGAATTTAAATAATAATTCTGTCAAATTTAAAATCTGAAAGAATATATTTGGTTTTTATATACAAGAAATGATCAATAATACATTTTAATGCTCTAAATATATATTTATTATGCTTAATTGGTATAATTACATAAAGGATCGTATTATTGAGATGCCACTGTCGTCGTCATAAGCAGTTAAGATTCAAAATAAACTTTTATTCGCATTTGTATAGAATTTTGATGTATTTAACATCATTTTCAGTCAAAGATGATTTTTCATGAACTTCTTTCAAAACACTTTGACCTTTCTTGGGTTTCATTGTGAATGATGACCTATCTTTAGAAAAAGATGTGGAACCATAATGCATTACTGTGTCATAACTGTAATTTGTCAACAGTCTTATCCCATCTGCTTTATATTTCTTAAACTGGCTTTTGGCATCTTTTAATATGAATAAAATATTTTTAGTATTTAAAAAAGCTTACGTGTAGGTAAAATATAACATGGTACTAACTTGGCAGAAGATTACTTTCGATGATTTCAATATACTCGTCTCTGTCGGGTCTATTGTGTTCGTGATAAAATCCAAGAGCGTGACATAGCTCGTGAAAGAGTATACCTTTATTTAAGCAACCAGTACCCAGACTGAGTTGTTGTCGTCCTCCCATCATCCCAACTTTAGAATGACACCTGAAAAATAAAATTCTAAGCTATAATTTTGCTAAGTAAACTTATAAGAAGCATAATATAAAAAAAATAACCTACCCTCGTCCTTTGTATATAAATATATAATTTTTTTCTTTTTTCCTTGGAACAAATTTTATACAGGTTTTCTCTTCAAATTCCTTCATTACTGCATTCACCAATTTCATGTTAATTTCTAAATGAATTAAAATGAAGATATAATATAAGGAAGCATATCTTGACAAGTTGACAATTATAATTAAATTTCACAAGTTCGAAAGAAACAATAGTCCGAGTGCCCAATTGTAAAACTAATAATTTCACAATTGTGTTATCACCAGAAATATATTAATGCTTTTTACATATGGAGATAGACGCACCTACAAATAAACGTTGACTCCACCATAGCCCTTAGACTAAATTAGCCAATCCCAATGTGTAAAAAGGATGAATTGCGAACACAGTTTTACTCTAAGTTCAGAAGAAAAACTAAAATAATTAACAATTAAAATTCACATCATATGAGCTGGCGTTTCCAAAAATTATTGGTTATTATATATAGTTCACAGTTCAGTTGATGAGACTAATTGTTTTCTCCATTCATATTCATCCTATGTAAGAAAGAAAGAGTCAAATATGACAGATTTGGGTGTAAAAGATGGTAAGTGCCATTATTAAATTATAATAAATGTATGACTAGAATTAAATACTACATTTATCAATAAATTGTAGCTCCATTTTCAAGATAATGTGAATCTCCAAGACACACTCTTTAACATTTTAAAAATTCATTTTTAATTTTATTTCCAAGAATCTTCTACATAAGAATTTTATTGAAAAATGAATAAATGAATGGATGAAGTTAAAATGTTTGACACCTAGTCTAGAGTTTAATATTTAATTAATGATTTGTAATGTAGAAATTCTCAGTTTGTATGTTTTTGTTTAGAAAAATGAAAAGAAATCCTGGAATAATAGTAAATTACTGTATATTACATTTAAATACAGACTTACTTGCTGCTGGATCAACTGCGTAAGGAACAATTCCATCAGTCCAAAGTCTAGCTTCGGACATAACTACGGTGCGACTCTGTCGATTGAATAATTATTAAAACTCGGTAGTTATAACATAATACACGATATTATAAATATTATTACTTCTCCGGCCGAATCGTCCGGAAGAATATCTCCTTCGAACAAATCGGGATTTTCCATCGGCTTGTACTTCAAAAATATTTCTGTAAGAATATAATAGAACTTTTCATAAAATGTTGTAAAGGTGTAAAGAAATTCACCATCAGTTTATCCTCTTAGATTTTACTAAACAATTTTATAATTTAATGATGTGAGACATTTTTTAGAAGAGAATAAATTTCATATCAATCTTAGAGGTAGGATGATGTCTCTTTCCTGTGTACTTTTATATATGTAAGACTTACCAAATCTTTCTAGTTGGAAAGATGTATTCAGATCATGGATACATCAAACTGTTCTTGATCTCTGTGTGTATAATTGGATTTTTGTGTCATATATATTTGCACATAGTTTGTGGAATTAATGGTATAAATCATTTAAAATTTTTTTCCACCAGTATAAAATTCTGCAAGAATGCACTTATCTGCAATATTTTATTTTAAATAATTCACTATAAAATAAAACACTAGTTATAAGTTGGGATCACAATCAAAATAGAAAATTATCCATTGTAAAAGACAGTTTATTGGGCTGCAATTTGAAAAATTTGTAGACCTATAAATTCTCATCTTCTGTCTGTCCTTTCCTAATTTCCAGAATGGAATTAGATAGATGATAGCCAGGACCAGATATGGAAAGATTAGGGACCTGCTGCCTCTAATCTTTCCATATATGCTCTGTATTGTTAAAGGAAAAGCATGATGTACAGGGGCAAGACATTACTAATTTGAAATGGAGAGCATAGATTTTAAATTAAATAAATTAAAAATATGATTAAAAATTGCAGCCCGGAATTGTTATGATGTCACAATATTTGTGTTTTATTCTTCACTCTTCGCTACGTACTGTACGTACTAAGAGAGCTTTTTAATCATTCATGATGACCGAATAACCGAATTCATGATGAATATATCATGAATTCGGCCAAGTCCACAATGGGGGGTGGCTGGGTATTGACGAACAGGATTCAACATATTTGGGACGGTACAAAAAGTTCTTAGCTTTTTCGACGTTATAGATTCGATCTCGGGTCTTCCAGAGCCGGTGCCGGATTAAATGCAAGATGAACAGTTCGTTAGTTTTAGCAATATTTAAACGTAAATTTGTGGAACTATTTTTTCGTTTATTTCGCATCTAATTTACATAACGCTCGACGTACAGTACATTCTATCTGTTTGGCTGTGGGCGTGAGTAGTCGAACAGCTGTTGACTGGGCGAATTTCATACTACACATTATGATGGTTTCGTAGACTAATTAGCCAGAATGAAAATTTGCGGACCCGGAAAAGTTGTCGAAATCGATGAGACTGATGTGAGCAAAAGGATAAAACCAGGAGAAAGTTTCCACCTGTTCGTTCAGCATACGAGTAAGTTTTCTAGGAGTGTTTCAATTTGGAGAGAGCCAGGAGTTATACCTTTAGCCCGAAAACAAGTACCAATAAATCCGAAAATCGTAAGAGGAAGAATGTAGACGTGTGTGTTGATAATGCGGAAAAAGTTTCTACCGTGGAAAAGATGAATTTACAAAAGAATCATCCGAACCACGTTATTTACCGAAGAAATTGGAGATAAGGAATTAGAAATATGTCAACGGTGAGTGAAAGATTTTTTTATTTAAATGCCAGTGTAGTTAGTAGTTGCACCGGTCGCCATTTTGTTTGTGGACGTCGCGTTCGCAAACAAGATGGCGACCGAAACTGCCGCCATTAGGTTTACTTAACTATACTTTTAACTAATCTTATATACGAATCAATGAAATGCAGCGATAATTTGAATAAGCGTAAATTTTGAGCATTTTTAAGGTTTCGAGCAGACCGCGTTATATCGATTCGGCGTTAATCGAGGAAGCGCTAAACGAGGTCTTACTGCGTTAACCAGGACATCGCGCGAATTTGTCGAATCGCGACAGAATAGAGGTAGAGCCAAAAAGAAAGAAGCTATCCTCGCACTCGTTATAAACAGAAAAGGAGATCCTTGTACCTGACTGTCGCGGACAGGCGAACTTTGCACTTGCCACAAAGAGGCATCTTTGCACCCGCAGGTCACGGTAAAGACTATCCTCGCAGCCTGCCGGTCATGGGAGAGGCTGGCCTGCACACAGAGATAATCCTTGCCCTTACCGACACGGAGATACAATCCAAGAAAAACAATCGATGGCAATGTGGATAAAACCACTGAACACTGGTTGTGAGTTCGCACCTGTCCAACGAGTTGGCTACGTGGAGTTTTCCAGGTTTTATTCGTCTAAATAGGGGGCCATAAAAGACCATTTCGGCAGACTGTCGCGTTGGCGGATACGAGTAAAACTAAAAGCAATCGATGCCAACTGCTTTGTTGTTGTTCTCTGTTCGTTTTTTGCATCTATTTTCTATCAGATGCACGCAATGTTGTTTTTTTTTATTTGATCCCTAAATTCTATTAGGCGTGCTCAAAGAGCACGGGCATTGTCGCTTCACCCCACTTTACATTAATAACGAAATCATGGACATTGTTTTCCTAAAAAGGCCAATATAGAAAGCTACTGTATTTCTATGTTGAGATTGTTTTGGGTTAGCCAATGAATAAAATGGTGGTTACCTTTTAGTTACATTGTATATATTTCTTATATTAATTCAACATTAAACTAGATATCATTCCTGAAACTTTAAAGTAATTTATTCCTATTTGAAAATCTAAACTTACCCCACATGATGTCCCGAAAACTTTTTGTTCCCGCTTCACACGCGACTTTATTCAATCCCACGGTAGAAATTACTAAACTAATAATGAAATACGTATTAAAAATAATTATAACAATAGTTTAAGAGAAATGCCAACAATACTTACAAGAAAAAAATTGAAATAGTTTGCATATTTTTGCTTAAATATCTGACTGGAACTAAAATCTTAATTAAGCTGTCTCGGATCTCGCTTCGAATAAGTTTTATTTGATTTAAAATTACTAAAACTTCAAACAATACAAATACATTAAATTCTATTCTTTGCCTTCATAATGTTACATACTATTGTTTTCTTGTAATAAGAGATGATTTTATTGTATTCTGATATATATGGCACATTAGACTTTACATGATATACAGTACTTAATTTCTTACAAATGTATTGTAACGTCTTCTTGACCGCCGTTATACGCTGTATGTGTCTAATTTCAGGTAGCTAAAGTTCGAAATATAACAAAATAAACATGTTAATAATAACATTTCCAGGAAGTTATACCTCGGTTCTGCCTTTATCCCACTTTACTATACACTCTGTGAATAGTGAAGTGGGGTAAAAGCAGAAGGAACAAAAAAACCCAACAGCTGCCCAAGAATAGGTTTGTGTGTGTTTTCCACATAAAATTTTGTCTTAACCATCTTTTGAATTAGTTAGTTCCTTACCATCTAATAAGTTATTCCTTCTCCTCCTGTTTTGCTGCGTTGTTCCTTCGACAACGAAGCCATTTTAGATTTCAAAGATGGAGTTTCCGCATCCGTAACGAGAGTTACGGATAATGACTAGAAAATGTACTAAACAATTGAGGTAGAGCAAGACACGCTTCTAACGAAATAAATGTTAGTTTAGAAGTTTAGTTAAAAACGTGTCTTGCTCTACTTCAATTGTTTAGTACATTTTCTAGTCATTAATTAATAGAGTGACCCGTTAAATACATCCATTAGGGTGTTTTGTTTTATCCGGTATCCATAATGAATTTTACAAAAATGCACACGACACGATTAATGGCAAGAATACGAGTAAGTCATTAAGATTCGTATAAATTTCAATCGGTTCTCTGAAGAGTTCGAAATTCGGTCTGAGGATTAAATCACAGACACAATGAATTAATACACAAAGGGCAAACTATTAAATCCGGGTCAAGTCCGGTAAATAAAGTCACAGCTCGGTAAATTGCACCCCTTTCGTCACAACTGACGAACTGGAAGATTGAATCACGCTGGTTTAATTCGAAACTCCAAGAAACACTCTAAGTACTTCTTGAACTTCTCCACTTTCTTTCTTTCGACCTTTGTATTGCGAGGGCTGTAAAATAAAATTAAGGATTAAGTAAAAATTGAATTTAAACAACATTCAGTCTATGGGAGCACCGAAAAGACAATGTTACTCATCGTTCACACCCGGCTCTATTTTCGATTTCTTACACCCACCAAAGCGGGAACGAGAGAATTTTTCCACATTCTTTATCACTTTCGTTGATTTCGAAAGCTCCCTCTGATAAAATGGTCCGGGTAGAGTTGATTTTGATCGAACCCGATGTCCACGATCTTCTCGTAGCTGATACGAACTAATCTCACTCTGAATATCTTAAACTGATTCCAATGGAGCTTTGGCTCGACCCATTCGATATGTTGGGCTTGCTCAGAGAATTCTGAAGGACGTCCATTGATTTTTGGATCTTTCGAATGTCGGGGATTCTCCGAAGAATAGGACGGAAATCCACTTTAATCGAAGTTCAAGAACGAATCTCGAATGGTGTCGAAGTATCCGTCCGTAAATTGGGATGGAAAGTCGAGTCCAGTCGATTAAGTCGTAGCCGGGTAAAAGGTCACTTCCGGGTGGCTGTGTCAGATTCGGTGAAAAATCGAAATCCGCGTAAGAAGGCATCGTCAGAGAAGAAAAGGATTAATACTTCAATTTAACACACACAATATGAATTGTAGAAAATGCAACGAGTTGCTTAACTTTCCGGGCAACGTTTAAATCTGTTTGTGGCATCATCTGTTATGATATTTTATTTTATTTAAAAACATTGTACTGTATATTATGAATTATAAAATGGCAGAAAGTTTAATTTTGAGGATAGGAATAAATCTTACCCTATTCGAGATAAGAGACACGGTTCCTTAATTTAAATCTTCCCACTCCGACCTTTAAACACCAAAAAGACATGGCAAAAATGGCAATGAATATAATTTCGATGGTAAATAATTGATGATTTTTTAAAAAAATTTCCTTGTATTTGAGCGATTTTTAACAATAGATTGTTAAAATTATCGAAAGGATCGCGCTGTACGTGAAAGGAATATTATATTAATAAATATCAATTCAATTTATCAAACATTTTATGTATGACAGGAAGTCTGTCCGCAATTATATATAATGAATATCGTTAGATAAAGAACTATTTTGAAATATTTTAAGTTTTCTGAAACATTATACAATGATTCTAAAGAATAAAGTACAGTTGACCCCCCTATAACACGGTAGATAATTCCGTATTATATGAATTCCATGTTGTACGAGTCAGTTAGATTTTACAAATACGTGTGCCGGGCTGTGAACGGCTCGCGTATTTGTAAAATCCAACTAAGTGACTCGTACAACATGGAATTCGTATAATACGGAATTATCTACCGTGTTATAGGAGGGTCTACTGTAATCATTTTTTAAAAGCATTATTATTCAGTATTAAAATAGCTGAAGAATATTAAATATTTATTTTATTAATGTAAGGGATATATCGATTTTTTTTGTAGAGAAATTATTTTTGGATTGTAGAAACTAATTTTAATATTTAAACTTTTCATTAGATGTTAATAAAATTGCCTAATTCCTTTATTATATTTTATCTTTAAGTAATCGAATCGATATTAATTGTATTTTTTTTTTTCTGTTTTGTTTACGTTCCCGTAGCATTATTCACCAAGGGAACATGTTTCTGGATATACAATAATCAAAATTTAAATTCGTCCAATAAGAACTTTTCAAGAGAATGACGTCAACGTTCCTTTACCTAATGTGGAAAGGGAAGGGAGTGGCCGAAAAGCCTGTGTTAAAAGTATTGTTTTATTTGAATTTAAATTAAAGTTCCGCACTTAAACAACAAAACTGCATCATTTCAACTCGATCGGGTATTTATAATTTATAATTATTTTTTTATAATAATAGGTTAGTAATAATAATAATAATTTTTAATAAATTNCTGAACAACGCAATAATATTTAGTATAATTTTATTTTCCAGAACAAAATATTTGGTTGTTATATTTTACTGTATTTGTGTTAAGATAAAATGTATTTAAATTTTAAAAAATTATTAATAATAATTAATCTTCAATAGAAATATTTTATATATTTTGTATTATATCAATTAAGGAATAAAAATAATTATTAAGAAAAATAATTGATATTTATTTTAATTTGAAGTTAGAGTCGTCATTACGTCACAAAATTTGAATTTGAATGAATAAAACGTGGAAACATTTAAACTACATTTTTTGACAATTTATTAGATTTTTTTTTTTTTAATTTAATTGCTCATTATATCTTTTTATTCGCAAGGGATGGGATTTCATTTAATATGATTTAATTCAATAATTTTGAATAACACGTGCTTAAATGTACTGATGGAAATACCATTCATTGCATGTTTGGTTGTAATAAACATGCTTAACATGAACATAAGGTCACTTTTACTAATATGGATCGAATATGCTGCCAAGTTATTTTTTTATTTATGTCGCCTTGAAGTGTTTTTGTGAGAAATAAACTCAACGACACTGTTCTTAGAAGTATTGCCTAATGATGCGAAGGAGATAGAGGATGTGGTTTCTCGACACAATTCCATGCTTCCTGTATATATCTCTGATAGATAAATGTGTAAAATATATAAATTACAATGTTGCTTGTTTTTGTAACGATAACGCAATGAATAATGTAAATATATTCAATCTTAACGCAAAAAACATTCGGAGATCATTAAACCGTGTTGGAATTACAATATTTTCATTATCCTTTGTTACTTTTTATATGGTCTCTAACCTTATTAAAATAATTATTAAAAATTGATATAATTTCGCACACGCCGACACATGCAATGTTAAGATTTGGTGTATATTTAGAAAGGTAAACGATCACTTAAAAACATGGGCGAAGAATGACAAAGAACATTTTTATTTTAATAAATTATATAGAAAAAGTTTATTGCTTCATCATCATTTTATAGTAATTATTTTGTTTTATGCTTTGTGATGCATATTAATTTGTTATTAATTAATATGTAATTTTTTTAAGAAATAANCCTTTTTATTTGTATATAATATATGTTTATTAAATATTTCTTAATTATATATATATCTGCTAATTAAGAACACTGAAATAATTTAGAAACATTTTTAGCCTTTATTAGATCATACTGAACTATTGAAGAACAGAGTACATTTGAGTCTGAGAATGGAACAACATAAAATAGATTTTTTTTTTAATTAACCAATCATAATTTTACAGCATATTGATTATTCATATTAAAGTATAAAACCAAAACTAGAAAATATGTTAACAACTCACATATCAATACTTTATTTAATTGAGCAGACATATTTTTAGCCTCTTTAATAGGCCTTCCTCGGGATAATGACTTAATTAGAACATTTTCTATAACTGATGTTCAATTCAAAAGTGTTCTAATTATAAATTACAGATTTAAAATTTAAAATTGTATAATAGCAGGTGGTAAGTAAAAACAAAAATAAAAAGTCGACAAATTACCAAAAAACACAAATATAACTAAAAAAACAAATAAACTATAAATGTATATACATAGTAAAATATATAAACTCCAATACAAATAATCAGAGCAATAAAATATACATTATATAAATAACTCCATAGTTTAAGCAATTGCTAAGACACTAACAAAAACGGTTATATTAGTCATCTGTACCTTTAAATTAAATGTCTATTTGTGTCTCGTCTTATGCCGTTGAAGGAAAATAGGCGCAGGGTATTTATTACGAATGCAGGTTTTGAGTTAATTAATATAGCAAGAAGTGTCGGCGTTTAAATATTATTTTAGATGACTTTTAATATAATAATCAAAGAATCTTATCTGGTGACAAAATTTCTTAAGATTTTTTGAATTTGCCACACTCCAAATCTCATCCTACAAGTTCATTTTTTTTTTTTAATTAGATTTAATAGAAAATTGATTGTAAAATATTTGACATTGCAGTTAATTAAATAATAAAACTAGTGTACAATTACAGAAGTTAAAAGAATTTTAGAATTAATATATATTAACTATAAACTCCACTTCTAAACCAAATAATTATTTCATTGTTTTATTGAAGTTTATGACATTTATTGTAGTTTCTATTTCCAAAAGCGTTCAGATTCCCATAACTCATCTTACACGTTACAAAACAGTAAAAAATTACTGTTTTGTAATGTAAAGTGTTAAAATCGAGTGTCCCGAAGATCGGTTACGGAAAAAAAGAGTATTCGCAAATAGAAACTACAAGTAAGTAAATGATGTAAATTCCAATGAAGCAATGAAATAAATATTTAATTTAATATAAAATATAGTTTAAATTAAATTTATTTCTTAATGTTTATTTACTTTATAGTGATTTTTTTAAAGTAATAAATGAAATAAATGATGTCATGTTTTAAAACGAGTATTTTCTCAAATTTATGTGACTTTTTACAAAATAAATTTTGATTACATAGGAACAATAATTATTTTCAGATAAAATATTCTATAATGACTGATGAAATTTATGGTCCAGTTTGGTAAGTACAATATATTTTTTATTGTGAAATTACAGAATTTTTTATTCACATTAATTTATATTTTATAAGTGATCAGTTTTAAGTTAGATCTTACACTACAGGAGGAAGTAAGTGTAAGATGACTTCTGAAAGTTGATGGATACATCAAACTGTTCTTGATCTCTGTGTGTATAATTGGATTTTTGTGTCATATATATTTGCACATAGTTTGTGGAATTAATGGTATAAATCATTTAAAATTTTTTTCCACCAGTATAAAATTCTGCAAGAATGCACTTATCTGCAATATTTTATTTTAAATAATTCACTATAAAATAAAACACTAGTTATAAGTTGGGATCACAATCAAAATAGAAAATTATCCATTGTAAAAGACAGTTTATTGGGCTGCAATTTGAAAAATTTGTAGACCTATAAATTCTCATCTTCTGTCTGTCCTTTCCTAATTTCCAGAATGGAATTAGATAGATGATAGCCAGGACCATTTATGGAAAGATTAGGGACCTGCTGCCTCTAATCTTTCCATATATGCTCTGTATTGTTAAAGGAAAAGCATGATGTACAGGGGCAAGACATTACTAATTTGAAATGGAGAGCATAGATTTTAAATTAAATAAATTAAAAATATGATTAAAAATTGCAGCCCGGAATTGTTATGATGTCACAATATTTGTGTTTTATTCTTCACTCTTCGCTACGTACTGTACGTACTAAGAGAGCTTTTTAATCATTCATGATGACCGAATAACCGAATTCATGATGAATATATCATGAATTCGGCCAAGTCCACAATGGGGGGTGGCTGGGTATTGACGAACAGGATTCAACATATTTGGGACGGTACAAAAAGTTCTTAGCTTTTTCGACGTTATAGATTCGATCTCGGGTCTTCCAGAGCCGGTGCCGGATTAAATGCAAGATGAACAGTTCGTTAGTTTTAGCAATATTTAAACGTAAATTTGTGGAACTATTTTTTCGTTTATTTCGCATCTAATTTACATAACGCTCGACGTACAGTACATTCTATCTGTTTGGCTGTGGGCGTGAGTAGTCGAACAGCTGTTGACTGGGCGAATTTCATACTACACATTATGATGGTTTCGTAGACTAATTAGCCAGAATGAAAATTTGCGGACCCGGAAAAGTTGTCGAAATCGATGAGACTGATGTGAGCAAAAGGATAAAACCAGGAGAAAGTTTCCACCTGTTCGTTCAGCATACGAGTAAGTTTTCTAGGAGTGTTTCAATTTGGAGAGAGCCAGGAGTTATACCTTTAGCCCGAAAACAAGTACCAATAAATCCGAAAATCGTAAGAGGAAGAATGTAGACGTGTGTGTTGATAATGCGGAAAAAGTTNTAATTTTACAGCATATTGATTATTCATATTAAAGTATAAAACCAAAACTAGAAAATATGTTAACAACTCACATATCAATACTTTATTTAATTGAGCAGACATATTTTTAGCCTCTTTAATAGGCCTTCCTCGGGATAATGACTTAATTAGAACATTTTCTATAACTGATGTTCAATTCAAAAGTGTTCTAATTATAAATTACAGATTTAAAATTTAAAATTGTATAATAGCAGGTGGTAAGTAAAAACAAAAATAAAAAGTCGACAAATTACCAAAAAACACAAATATAACTAAAAAAACAAATAAACTATAAATGTATATACATAGTAAAATATATAAACTCCAATACAAATAATCAGAGCAATAAAATATACATTATATAAATAACTCCATAGTTTAAGCAATTGCTAAGACACTAACAAAAACGGTTATATTAGTCATCTGTACCTTTAAATTAAATGTCTATTTGTGTCTCGTCTTATGCCGTTGAAGGAAAATAGGCGCAGGGTATTTATTACGAATGCAGGTTTTGAGTTAATTAATATAGCAAGAAGTGTCGGCGTTTAAATATTATTTTAGATGACTTTTAATATAATAATCAAAGAATCTTATCTGGTGACAAAATTTCTTAAGATTTTTTGAATTTGCCACACTCCAAATCTCATCCTACAAGTTCATTTTTTTTTTTTAATTAGATTTAATAGAAAATTGATTGTAAAATATTTGACATTGCAGTTAATTAAATAATAAAACTAGTGTACAATTACAGAAGTTAAAAGAATTTTAGAATTAATATATATTAACTATAAACTCCACTTCTAAACCAAATAATTATTTCATTGTTTTATTGAAGTTTATGACATTTATTGTAGTTTCTATTTCCAAAAGCGTTCAGATTCCCATAACTCATCTTACACGTTACGAAACAGTCAAAAATTACTGTTTTGTAATGTAAAGTGTTAAAATCGAGTGTCCCGAAGATCGGTTATGGAAAAAAAGAGTATTCGCAAATAGAAACTACAAGTAAGTAAATGACGTAAATTCCAATGAAGCAATGAAATAAATATTTAATTTAATATAAAATATAGTTTAAATTAAATTTATTTCTTAATGTTTATTTACTTTATAGTGATTTTTTTAAAGTAATAAATGAAATAAATGATGTCATGTTTTAAAACGAGTATTTTCTCAAATTTATGTGACTTTTTACAAAATAAATTTTGATTACATAGGAACAATAATTATTTTCAGATAAAATATTCTATAATGACTGATGAAATTTATGGTCCAGTTTGGTAAGTACAATATATTTTTTATTGTGAAATTACAGAATTTTTTATTCACATTAATTTATATTTTATAAGTGATCAGTTTTAAGTTAGATCTTACACTACAGGAGGAAGTAAGTGTAAGATGACTTCTGAAAGTTGATAAAAATTTAAAATCTAAAATTATTGGAACAGCGTCTTAAAACAGTATTTAAAATGAGTGATATTTCCTACAAGAGGGAATAAAAATACTTATTTGATATGAGTTGTTTTTCCAACACAACGCACTATTATTTATTTAAGATGTGTGGTTGCATTCTAACAAAATGAAACCATTTGATAAATATATTATAAGTGATTAACAGATTTTTACTAGGAACAGTTGAGAGGAATCTTTCTAAGAAAAATTAGAACCATGTTTAGAATATGTTTGAAAGGTTTTAAGAAAAACTTTACAGCAGAATATCATATGAAAAAGTGTTCCTGGAACCATAGTTCTTTCTTAATTTGACTTATTTACTCATAATGGAATAACTAACAATCTTAGCAGGATGCCAAAGATGCTGAACAGATTTTATAGAATAATATAAAATATTGTCTTAAATACAGGGTGATTCAAAATAGATGCAAAAAATTTCATGGGCTGATTCTTTAAATAATTTCAACCATTATTGAAATTATTTGAATATACTATTTCAAATCACTCTGTATACTTTAATTAATTGTAAAATTTATCTTATTACATAAAGATTTTGCTTTTTTTTTTATTTGTATGTAGATCAAGCTTTAGCACTTATATCCTGTAAAATAATTATATATGCTGATGACATTAAAATTTGCAATAATAATCCAAAACAACTTAAAGATGACCTCATTAATAAATACTCTGTAAATTAGAAAATTGTAAACATCAATAATACATCAGTCATATTTTTTTCCTTTTTTCGTAATCTTTATTTATACAATTTTAAAATCAACAATAATGTTTAAATTACGTCAATGAAATGACTGATTTTGGCACAACTTTTCATCAAAAGTTAATATTTACAAAACACACAGACAAGTTTGTAAAAGGCCTGTGACAATCGCTCATCATTTCCGTGTATAAAATTAAATTGTCGGTTACGAAGCCTTTGTTTATAAGCTTGTAGAATGTACCATCTCCTGTTATTGCCTGGAAGGACAATAAATGCAGTGGGGGGCAGGAGTAGGTATATGTTGACTCCAATTGATGAGATGACCAGGAGAAGATAACGATTACCAGTATGTGCCATGAAAATTTGAGAAACTTCTTCTGTTATAGTGTCTCTTCTCCCCTGCAATGAATAATTATTGCGTGTAAAGGATTTGATGTTAACTCAACTTCGAGTTGAGAAAATAAACACTTGACGGTCTGGCTATATGCCCTGGAATTTTATGGCAGCACTGAAAAATCTCTAACAGTTCAGTTTTATGATGCCTGTATTTACAAATTTACAATCTGACAACTGCTACTTAACTGGTTATTATTAGATAAAAATGAACACTACAAATACCTAACATACCGGCGAGAAAACATACCTAACATACCGGTATGTTAGGTATTTGTAGTGTTCATTTTTACAATCTGTAATGGATTATGGATAGTAATCTGATGCCACGTCCAACTTAGAAAGTGTCTATAAAGCTGTGGCTAGAGTATACTCATTGTTAAATAGATTTTGCCATTTGCCTTTTTACCAGTTCTGTTGATGAAGTTAGATATAGGTTAGGTCTATCACAATTACAAAAAAATGTTATATTATTTAATCAATTTTTAGCATATAAAAGCTTTAGTGGGTTTATTCAATTTGATTTTTTTCTGTTCTCATGCTGATCTCTATACTCATCAGAATAGTAGTTGCATTCACATTATTTTGTGTGGCTTTCTACAAATGTTCTTTTTGATAGATATCAAATATCTTTAAGTCTAGTTGAACAGTTTTCTATCATAAAATATAAATTGTTGTGGAAGAGTTTTGTATAACATAAATTACTAGTTTTTATTGTTTTAGTGTGATGTTCTATTTTCATTGTACTTTTAGGATTTTCATGTGTGTGGATTGCTACATGCCATATGCCTTAGGGCTTGGTGTAATTAAAAGAATAATCTAATAGCATAAAAAACAAGTTTTACTCTGTGAAATTTTATTAAATGCTTTTATAATTCATATTTCAACTAAAAAATAATTTCAAAAACGCCAAAAATACATTATATTAGAAGTAAATAAATTTCAGAATAAATTTTGAGGTATAAATTTAAATAAAAATGTAATTCAAAATCATTTAAACGTTTAAGTTTTTAAAAATATTATAGGTTTATTTCATAAAATTTTTATTTTATTTTGTTTTAATATTTTATTAATATTTTTTTTTAATATAAAATCAAAGTTTTAATGTAAATTCTCAACTCAATAAATATACATTTTAGTTGTCAAGACCATTGTTTTTATTACCCTCTCCAAATTCAATTTCGCCAGTCTCCACTATTTTAAAAGCCCAAGCAACATTGGATATATGCAGCTTGTTTTTCAATAAAAACACAATTTTGATGCTTCTTAATCCTACTAATTATGTGGAATATTATACATATATAAGTTTTTGAGTATTATTTCATTAAATGCCCAAATATATTATATAAAATAAATTTTTTTATTACTAAAAACAATGCTTATAACTTGTAATTTTTATAGTTTTTACTACATAATTTTCTAATTGTATCCATCAAACAAAATCCAACAAATACTGCCAGTAAATGAAATGAATTATTATAAAAATTGATGAAGTATTAAAAAATTCAATTATATACAAATATTTAAAGGAAAATTATTAATTTCTGTAGCATTCAATCTTATATTTTTAACAATCTAATTTGGTCCTGTTTAACTAAATTTTGAAAACCTTGTTATTTTCATATTTAATTTTATTCGCATATATATATATTATATTTCGTAATGAAATAAAATATTTAATTGTTTTTCTTTATCATAATCAGATCTTTTCATATACTATATAAAAAAGTATTTAATTTCCAGGTAAATCAATAGGATTGGGATAACTTGCAATGCATTATTACCAAGATTAAGTTTATTCATTTTATCAATTGTGTCTATCTTTATTTTAAGCATTAATGAATCATAAAAATTTCTTTATATTTTATAATATGCAATAAATACATAAAGTAATGATTTTTCACATTCAAGGTGATTGAAATTTATTATGATTATGATTTCTCTTGGGCTGTACTTTTTCATACTGTCCTTTTTTTACAATATTTCTATTTAAGTTTATATTAAATTATACACAAATTATAAAATATATTAAACATATAAAGCTTTTATGCATTATATTATGCAGTAATTTTCTAGCTAAAATGTTTTATTAAGCTCTATTACTTTATAAAATCTTTTGTTATTAATCCTAAACAGAATTTTATAATGATAAACTTATTATGAAAGTCTATTAACTCAAAATTTAAAATAGGAAATTACAATTATAAGGTCCCTATCTATAATATGCAGACTCTATTAAAAAAAACATTACTGAATGTGTGGATTATTGGATAGCTATACATCTGAGGCAGGTTAAGATGACATTAACTTACTGCTCTTAGGACTCAAAATTGAATCTGGATCCTAGATCAGTAGGTCAGAACAACCTCAGGAATTTTTCTTGGGCTCTATGTTTTAGATATGTCAAGCCCTGTCCCTCATCATCCATGTTTATGTGGCTTGATCTTAATTGTTAATTTTTATTTATTTACTTTGCTATAAATTCGAGTTTAGAGTAATAATCCTGGTTGAGCAGCTCTTCAGGAGGTTGATTTTTTGTCCCAAGTTGAAGTAACAATAACTCTTATATTTATTCATGTTTATATAGAGTTTATATATTGCCCATAATAGTATTACTGTATTTATAACGTTTACACCATGCCGTTAATGAGATCAACTAATTGTTTGGACCCAAAAATAATTTTTTAAATAACCACTTTTGGTTGTAGCACAGTGGGCAGAGTGCTGCTCAAGATGGACAAAATCTAAAATAATGGAATTTTTAATTTTTTTGAATATGTTAATTAACAATTTAGATGTATATCAGATACATTGTAAGCACCAGCAGCCCATGTATAAAGCAGTTTGTAGGTTTATCTTTATTTGCATTTAATACATGAAATAACAGGTTTTTAGTAGTTTCATTGGAAAATGTGTATATAAATGTTTATTTAGTAGATAGTTTAAACAATCGTAAAACATAATTAAAAAATAGGAAATTTAATTCAAATTGTATTGAAGGAGTGGAAAATAAAAATCTGGCTGTTGCGAAATTTGAAAAACATAACTTTAAAGGATATCATAAAAATCATTACTCTTTTTCTTTTTTTATCGTGACTGAAATAATGATATGTCAGTATCTTTATGTATTACAATTAACAGATACTACTGCTTCCACAATTAATTGAAGGTGTTTCATGTAATGGGTGCATTTGGAAAACAAAGTATGTACTACTTTAGCTTAACATTACATTGCAGCACTGTAAGGTTGACTAGATGTTGTGGCTGTACACCATAATTTTAAGTTAATATATTTTAGTTTGTAGCTTCTGTTCTCAATTCTTGTCTTTTCCCATTTCTGGAATCTTCTCTTGTCCTCATTTCCACTTCACTTCATTGATGATTGATGTTCTGAACTGTCTCATGGGAAGAAAAAATGCCTAAGGGCCTAAAGGGGAGAGGTAACTGTTTTCAGATTGGGGGAGACAGTAACAAGGAGAGTTTGATTCTGAGCATAGCAAGGATCTTAAGAATTTCTTGAAGGCTTTGTGCAACAAGAATCCTGAGAATTCAGTTAATCATTGATAAAGACATTCTCCTTTGATTCCCATAAGAGGATACTTTAACCTCCCTAAAAGAATGAACAAGAAAATTTCAGTGAGAATCATTGAAAGTAATCCTCTCCTTAAAAAGAGGAATCAGCCAAGTACAGGTACCCCTTTCTTTTCCCTTTTCTTGTCTAATTTAATTTTCCATTTCATCTCTATAGTTTTAAGTTAGTTGTAAGAAATTTTTGTAGTACATAGTCATGCCCATTCAGCAAAATTGTAAGACATGGGAATCTTTTGTTTTGTCGTGCGAGTCCACATGTCGGTCTTTTTTTGTTTTCTTGGGCAAAGTTGGGCAAATGCCCTAGAGTTGGCATCTGAATTCTTTTTCTTTTTTGCATTGTGTTATCATTTTTTATTAAATCAATTTTTGTTTTAATTATGTACTGTCTTAATTATATTACATTATCACCTTTGTGGCTATCGTACACAACTGCACTTTTCACAATGTGTTCAGTTCCTTAACTGACAAGTACCCTAGTAATGATTTATAACTCAGGTATCTTTCTGTATTTGTAATTCTCTTTTGTTCTTCCAACACTTATGATTATATTAAAGATATGTTTGGTGAATTTTTAAATTTACATTTTCATTCATTTTTAAGCATGACAGACAGGAAAAATGTGTTGTATTAAAGCGGTTTAATGCAGTTGAATAAACATCTGCTTTGAACAATGGAAGACTGCTTCGAGAAAGTGCTGATGGCGTTAAATCGTGTAAGACTAGTTTAGCCAGTTGCAGCACTGCTGTTTGCTGAATGTGTCAAATACGAGAACTTCAAATAACACACAAAACACCAAAAATTCTGTTACGAAATACTAAATCTGTACCATTATTTTATTATTACTAACATTTTCGTTCTACAGGGTTAGCGAGAAATAAGTTTCCCACTTTAGAGAGCTCTGGAATGCGTTCTACTGCTCAAAATGAGACAAAATTTGGACTACAAATAATTTAATGATGCGCTTGAAATTTCTTAAATAAAAAGAAAAATAGTACAAAAATCTGTCGATAGGTGGTGCCAGAGCGCACAGAAATATTGAATATGCGTGCACATATAAATGTTGAATATATAGCACTAAAACTGTTCAGTATGTCCTCCTCTATTTTGAACAATGTGCTCTAATCGCAAAACCATACTAAGACAGCATTTCACAGATGCATTAGTTTCTGCGACGAAATATTTTAACTAGTAAAAGTAAAAAAAAATCAGTTTTCAATTCAAATCTCACATGTAACCTGGTACATATCAGTTTGGTAATCAAATTCATAAACTTAATTCCATATTTTCACAACATATTTTCATCAATCTAAGCATTAACTTCTATGATGTGCTATTCTTGCAAAATGACAGATATTAGTAGAACAAACACATTAAATCCTTCACAAAATTCTGTAGAAAAATTCCATGCAGTTTATTTAAAATAAAATGTTAACTTGTCAACATCCTTTTGACTAATCCTGTATATGCCATTCATTTTTATATGCCAATGCTTTCCAGGAAACTGGAAGCATTGACTGACATTTCTTAGCTATTGTTTAAGCTTTTCTCTTTCACTCTGCTTATTCCCTTCATTTTGCTTATTTTCAGGAGAATTGGCATTTAAAAATGGAAGATGTATATATAAGATATTTTTCCTAACAACCGTATCGGTAATTCAAATGAATTTTTTTATCATTGATTATTCTGATTAAATTAAGTATATCATATAAATTGAAATATGCTATTGATTCATTTATATACTTTAGATTATTATTTATAGATATATAGTATCTAAAGTACATGAATCAATATATTTAATGTAAATATGAGAAGAATAATACTCCATTATTTAATTATCTGAATTGTTTTTATAATTAAGAAATCATTTTCTATTATTTAGAAAAAATGTTATTTTTATCATGAAAAATAATTTGTACTACTATCACGTTAATTAGTAAAATCATAAAGTGGAAAAATAATTAATATATTAAGTTTCTTTATTAATTAATACTTCATTATACTTCACAATATTGTTTTGATTTTAAAACGGTTACCCAATATATACGTTAAGAAATATTAAAATTACATGGCAATATGTTATATTGCGTTATTATGTTCTTACGTTACGTAGTAGTCACATAATTATTTTTACCGTTATTTGTATTTATATATTTTGATTTAAATTGCAAAATTTATAAATTTGACATTGTTTTATTATAGAAAAAAATTATAAAATGAGTTAATTATTTTTGTACAAAAATATTATCTTTTAAACATGATCGGTGGAGCAAATAAAGAATGACGAATAACTCGAGTGAAGTATTTTTAGGAATAAAAAAAAAAAAACAGTTATACAATAAAATCCACTTATTTTAATTACGGATATTGTTATCAGTTATCTAATGTTATTAGAATTAATAAGACTCAAAACATATAATTTATACAACACTTAAAAAACTTTACTTATTGTAATTAGAGTTTCAATTATAGTTATTGTTGTTTTCAGATAAATATACCTTTTTTAAGCTGCCTTTTTTTTTGCTATCAGCTATAATTTAGGGTTGATAACATACAATCATTGTCAGTTATTATTATCAGTCATAAGCATTGCCCACCAGTAGCTGTGTGGATAAAACCACTGAACACTGATAGTTGGTTGTGGGTTTGTCTTGCCAATGGCTGGCACATGGAGTTTTCTGGGTTTTTTTACATATTTGTAACATGCGATATGCTTCTTGTCTAGTCTTATGTTCAAATATACGAGTGCTAAGATGGCTAATAAGTGTAGCAGAAAAGAAAAAGCCATCTTAGCGCTTGTATATCTGAATGTTTGTAACACTTAAATAAGGACCAGTTTTTCATAGAAAGTCCTCCTGAGAGGGATCCTCCTCTTTGCAGATCGCCTCTCTCTTATGTTGCTGTATACTTAATCCTTCGTTTAGCTTCTTGTTTGAACAATATTGTCCAAACAAGAAGCTAAACGAAGGATTAAGTAGTGCTTAAACATTAAAAGTTAATCATTTTGGCATTTCTTACTTCAATTATGCATTACTTGTTGTTAAAGATTGAGAAAAACAACAGGCAAATAACACTAGATGAAATATTATTAATTAATAATAACAACTATAATAAATAAATCTTCGTCACATATTGTTAATTATTTTAATTATCCTTTTAATATCAGTCAATAAAACCAGTTTCTATTTAATCTTATTTACTTATCTCACTTATTCTTAACTTATTCTTTATATTAGTGGAAGGTTCAAATTTATACTGCAGGCAGTTATTCCATAGTTTAATGGTAACTCGTGCAACTGGCCCTTTTAATACTATCAGTTGATTTTAATAATCGACTGATTACATTAAATGGAGAGCTTAAAAGTGATTACAATACATGTATTATACTCAAAAATGGATTCTACTCTATTAACATTTTTCTTGTTTGGTTTTCCTTTTATTCAAGTTAGACAAGAAGATTATTATAAAAATTTAATACTGTACTTGTACTGTACATATCTACATAATGATCTGTAAAAAAAGATTTATAAATTATGGTTTAACTACTAAAATTTATTGACTGATGCTTCTAAATGTAGCAGAATTAATTTTGTGTAACATTTATGGCATAAAAAGATAATTAAAATTTAATTAAAAACTCATTAACTCTAATCTAATGTATTTTTTTTTATTTTTTTATATAAGCTATTCTTTATCTTAACCTTTACTTTACCCTTAATCTTAAGATAACGCTTAAGACCAACTTGTTCATATTATATGCGATTATAATTTAAGATACGCTAATGATTTAAATTTATTGCCTACGTTTTTGCCTTAACAATATATTGTCACATAAAACAGAAAATTTATTAAAACAATAATTAAGTATTTTGCAGCATGAATTTTGCATGCGTCCAGATGATTTGAATAACAGTAAAACTTTATCCAGATGATCTGAATTAACAAAGAGATAATTCACAATTCAGAGATGATAAATGATTTATATTTAAAGATTTCAAGTATAAATTAAAAATGCCATCAAAGAAAAAAAAAACATGTAGAAAGAACATATATTCAATGTGAACTTGGAATATGAGCACATTAATCTAAGATAGTGGTAAGCAATCTCTGGCCCACAACTACAAATTTACAGTGTAATAAGAATTTTGATAGGAAACTTTAAAATAATAGTTTCCAACTTTCCAAATTCCAACTAAGACTCAAGCACATATTACAATATTAATTAATGTCAGACTGGAGAATTCAAACTTTGATGCTTGTAGAACAGAAAATTTGGGAAAATAGGACATTTTTAACGAAGGAAAATATCACATTAAAATTCTTGGATGGCAGGAGAGACAACATTATTGTCTAAAATACAAACTAAGGTTTCAAAATTTGATCAACATCCTTTGCTTCAGAATTATGATATGGTGTCAGGTGAATCCTGAAGATTGGCCTTTCTCATGACTCAATCTAGTCTAATTTTATTTGGAGATAAGAAAATAAGTTATCAAGAGACGATGGGAAAGAGTAGGGACCGATTGAAAGATGAAACTTGGGTATAAAATTCTTTTTAAAAACCTTGAATTTTAAGGATAAAGGCAGATTTTTCTCTCCCAACTTTGTGAGTTGGTTCTGTTCACTCTTATTTCTCTGTGCTTGAGTCATTGTGGTCTCCAAAATGCCCTTGTCCCAGTTTTCACTCTACTGCCTTCATTGTTATCCACCCTCTAACCAACCGTCGCCTGTTTTATCTCCAGACTTGTCCACGACATTGCCCCAAGGCTGCCGATTCGTCGAGATACCCTGACCAACAATAACATCTTTAGATTTTTAGATCATCACCTGAGAAGGAGTTCACATTATACTACTATGTAAGCCTTCAGTTTTTCACAATAAACATATTTCATTTGTGAAGGTACTTTGCTTCAGTATGTCCATAATCATTCAAATACCATCCTTTATTCTTCATTCACCTTGATTTGAGTTTAATTGACTTCCCCCTTTTCTCTTCCCTTCAGCAACCTCCCACCAATCTTGGAGGTGCCAAAATGAGCCTGTAAAATTATCTGTAATTAACATTGAATCAGAGGTGCCAGGTATGAAGTTTGCCTTGTGCACCAAACTTTTCGGTACAGCACTGTTGTGTTATTTAATATTTATGTAAAAATTATTTAGATAATGTAATATTGAGAATAAAATAACAAAATTTTGTTCTAAAAAGTACTAATAAAAGTCAATATATCAATATATAAGTGTGTTTATTTGTATAGTGAAACCTAATGTGACCATTCGTGAATTTAAAGTATTTTTTTTTTATTGTTATAATTCTGTAGAAATAATTTAAGAATGAACTACAATTTTTTCAAATTGCAACCCAATAAAATCAATTTAAAATTAATTTTAATTTTTTTTACAGCTGTGATCCATTCCAGATATTTACGGTAAGTTGAATTTCAAATTTTTATCTTAAAAAATTAAAGTAATTTATTAGATCACTTAGAATATAAAAAAGAAATTTTATTTATAATTGTATTTAATGTTATTAGCTCTTTTATTTTTACTATATCAATTTCTGATATGGACAGAGCCATAGAGAGCTTGTATTAGGTCAGGGGTAAAGTGGGTCTCTTTTGCCATTTTTTTAAACAAATGAAATACATAGAATGTTTCTATATTAATAAAATGCATTTATTTTTTTATTTGTAAACGTAACATTAATTTATAGGTGTAGGAACACTAAATGCAACTACACTGGTGTGCAAAACTTAACCAACAATTGTTTTTTGCCGTAACTCTGCAAGAAATCGCCTGGGAGACACAAAATTCAGAATTTTGTACTTAAAGGATGAAGAAAGCATACTAGTGCAAAAATGAATAGAACACATACAGTATGGAATTAAAGCCTCCTTCTTATTGTAATCTTGCACTTTGCATGCTTACTGCACACGTTCTAAGTGCCCTCATGTCGCCTGTGATGTCATCTTCCTGAATATGAATCGCCTTTCTACTGAGTTGTGTGTTTATTGTACTGATCGCAACAAGTCCTTTTTTACAATTTCATGGCTGTCTGCTTAAAAATTACATTGTGGCTTAAGTTTTGCACATCAGTGTATGTTTTCTCTGAAAAAAGGGGAAAATCCCAACTCCCTCTGTCATTGGCCCTGGGTATGGATTACAATATTGAAGGGTTTTATCAGTACCAAGTATTTCAGTAAAGAAAGCTCTCTATATCAGGATACTAGTATTGAACCAGTATTTAAATTCTAGTGATAGTTTAGATTTTCAGACAAAAAATACACTGAAATTAGCCCATTTTTAACTGTTAGACAAGTCAATGTTGTAAGCAAAAAATTACCTTCACTGTTGATAGAAAAAATAATCACTCACTTAATTTTAAACATACAGTAGTACTATTTTTTTTTACTTCTGATTCTGACCATTATCCACTTTCTATAACAAGTATGTATATTGATAATTGATCTTCCTGCAGTTTAACTTCTTTTCCCTTACAAAAAATGACAAATCAAATTAGATGCATTACTTCTTGATTTTCTTCAAATTCCATTTTTTACAATTACAAATACATTTTTTACAATTACAGTATACTTCATACGTATACTCAATACCATGTTCTAATATATTATGTTTTCATGATTTATGCACTAAAGTTTGTGAGTTTGACAATAAAAGTTAAACTTTACATATTTCTATATTATTTGTAGGTTGCATTTCTTACAGTTTCTTATAATTATTGCAATGGTACAGATAGCCTGGCATCAAGAAATGAAAAATGCACTGATTGGCGAAGAACCATGTGAGAATGTCTATAAACGCTGGCACTTAGCCAATGCAGAACCGAGATAGTGAAAAGATGATTGTTAAAAAAATATAAATTGATTATATTTTGGCATCATGTATATAATAATTTGTATTATTGTTACATTTTTACCCTTTAAAACATCAATTTCTTTCCAAAATTATCAAAATACCAAAATGCTAGTATTAATGTTAGTATAATAATAATAATTTGATTTTGGAAATTTAGGCTGAAAACCAGTAACATCAGTATTGATAATACCGTATTGTAATTCCTAATTTCTGAGAGTGGATTGTTATAACTCAAATTGACTTGAGACTTTCTATCTCAGTAACTTATATGAATAATAATAGAAAATTAGGAATCATATTTTATTTGTAGTTTTGCTGATTGTACAATATAGTAGCTTTTTTGCTTTTTAAAGTATTCAAGGTAATTTCACCAATTAGATATTTATAAGAGTATAGAAATATTAATTATAATGACTAAATGGAGAAAGATAAGATGTCTGCTTGTGTCTGAGGAACTGAATTTGGGTCCGAGTCTGGATATGCCAGACCACATTCTCCATTTATGCTTGCATTTAAATGTTTGTTTTGAATGTGTACAAGATGCAATTATAGAAATAGTAGACAAATACATACAGAATGGTGGCACATACAGGTCATGATATTTCTGGACAGTCTGACTAAAATGTAGACTCACAGACAAAATGGTAGCTTGAAATTAATGTTAATTATAACTATTTATTAGTGATGTAACGAATATTCGGTTACTATTCGGTATTTGGCCTATTTTTCACTATTCGGCCGAATACCAAATATTTAATCACTATTCGGCCAAATACCGAATACCTAAAAACAGGAATAAGAAATAACAAAAACACAATAAATTAATCATTTTGGTATTTAGATTTAATGTTATTGGGTTAGTGTTGTTTGTTTATATTTATTTATAACTTGTAACATGCACAAAACAAAAAAGAACATAATATTAGTCACTTCTATTCACAATTTATAATTACAAAGATCAGCACACGTACACACCTATTCGTTCGAGAATCGTCACACATTTGAGGGTCTGACCCTGCCTATCCTTCTTTTTAAGCACTCGTCTTTGCTCTTTCTCTTTCCTCTATCGCTCTAGTCCACGCATGCCTATGCATACATCATAATACACCCTCACGATACTTTTGATTCGTCACTTTTCCGTTGTAGATTCCCCATTTTACAATTACGTGACTTATAGCCTGGTGATAACAGAGAAAAGAGACAGATAGGACGTCAGTATAAGTCACAGTTATGATTTCACAGATTCAAAACAGCTTGGTAGCCCAAACAACTCCGGGCTTTCGCCCATGCACGCTAAGTGACTTTCATTACAAGCATTTAGCTTTCCGAAGTCTACGACAACAATTGTTTGGCATTCACGGCTGCAAATTTTGGGCCAATAAGCTGCCTCGACTTGTTCGATTATGTTATCAACTCAATTTCATGTTTATTTTCACATTTTCACTTTGCGGTTCTTCTCTGTTCTTCTTCTGTTATTTACACGTGTAGGTCATTTCATTGTTATCACATTTGATATCATCACTTATCACATACTGCCATGACACTCTTGTCTGAACTGTCAAGAATTAATGCGATTGGCGAACATAGTGACAATGGGCCAATAGAGAGCAGGGTCCTTGCCATAATGCGGTTTGCGCGCCAATTTTTGTACATGCGTTAATCAAGCCGAATAGTTTGGCCGAATATACTATTCGTTGCAACACTACTATTTATATTTTATAACTGTGGAAAGTTTTTCTACTATAATTTATTAAAGTATTTTGTTGGAGTTTTGTTATGTTGATAAACACAATGAAACTCCAACAAAATATTCACTGCTTTCAACTTTCACTAAGTCTAACTACAACTTCATTACAGCCCTTCACTACATTCTCTGACTTCATACCCAAACATCTCAAGTCAGAGAATGTTCTCCAACTTCATCCTTGCACTTCACATCCTTCTCTCATCTTTGACCCTAAACTTAACGTCTCCTCTTCTTAAGTATCCCTCAGCCATCCATTCAAGCTATCTCCCCAAACCACACTACATCAGTTGGGCTCTTCAATAGTTTTTTTTGTTAATACTGGTATGAGTACACCATGAATTCTTTCTACCTGTCCATTCCCACATGGTATCCCAGTAGTGATCTTCACATGTTCAATACTTTCTTCTATAAAATAGTTCTCAAAATCTTTTGACATAAATGCACTGCCTCTGTCAGTGATGATTATGGCAGGGTTACCAAAAGTATTTTGCTGTAGCTTTAACTTATCTAGTGCATCAGTGGTAGAAGTGGATTTCACAGGGTACAGCCATACAAAATTTTGTGAATGCATCAATGACTGAAAAAAATATGTTGGTAGTTCTTGTTGGTAGATGGAAGAGAACTGTGTATTGTGCCATGAGCCATGCAGATTGAAAGTATCGCAGAATCATATTCAAAAGGTCACTTTTCAGTTGCTAAGACTGAAGACTTCTGTGCATTTGTAGCTAGAACTATTTTTTTTTTTTTTTTTGTTTCGTATTTAACGTTCATACTCGTATATAAACGGCTAGAAATAAGTGAGGAAGGTTTTTGTATTGATCAAGACTGAAGATGTTGTAAAGCAAGATTTCTACATACTGAGGCTCAGAAAAGCCACTGAAAATGTTACAGCTAATTGTGTCATGTTAAGTTTCAAAGTGACCTTTGAACTTGTGTTGGAGATATGACAAAAGAGGCACACACAAACACCTTTTGGCAAACAAAATGATTTTAATACAACAAAACAGTCACTACTAGACCCCAAGATACCAGCCAATTCAGTAAAGTAAAAATGAATTTGCATATGTCCCAACAATTGTAGACTACTATAACTACTTTCCTAAGGTTCCCAAAGGAAAAATTAAATAAATTAAAATAATGAAAATAAAAAAACCAAATTACAATTATCTCTAAAATTCTGCAACTAAATATACAAAAATATCTTGCCAATAGATGGCCGAACACTTTGAGTCTTGACATCATAATTCCTCACAAAAAATGTTTCTCTCGACCCGGTGCCACTCTCACTTGTGCTCGAGGACATTTTCCACGGTCTGTCTATCTTGGTCTCCCAAGTTCTTGCTTCCATTCTTGTCCAGACTTTACCCAAAGTCTCCTCAGATATTTCTTTCTCGTTGTCCATACCACTTTCCCTCAGCAGGGGTCCTTACTTCAACACCAAACAATAGAGCTGGCCTGGACACGATTACAATGGCATAATGCCATTGTAAATATGGCATAATACAATGGCATAATGCCAGACAAAGGGTGGAAAGAGCTGATGAATTGGGGTGGCCAGAGAAGACAAGAAAAAAAACATAGCAGACTACCACAGTCAAATGCATACTTATCAACAAAAAGCCTGAGAAGTTAGAAAGATTCTTGAATCCAGTAGATAAAGGAAATATTCCCTTGAGCATGCATCATATAGATTTCATATAAATATTTATAAATGTTTTGCAAATGCGGCATCAAATAGTTGTATTTTTTAATTAAAAAGTTTTAGTTTGTAATTAAAAGTTGGCAAATAATTTAATAGAGTTTAATTAGTTGCTTTTTAGTGTTTGTATTTTTCATAACAATTTTTTAAATAGAATCTTTACTGTTTTAATTTAATAAAGAACTTTTTATCATTTTTCAAACTTTAAGGTTTATCCAGAACCATTTCAAGTTTTAACTGTTACTGTACTTGAGGGAAAGAATGTCACAAAGGGACGATTTGGAGACTTAAGTGAGTACTGTTTAGGTTTTGCTATGTAATAGTATTTATTTATATAATACAATGAATAACACTTTTGAGATCAACGAACAACAGTTTCTATGTTTAAGGGTTTTAACACTAAAGAATAAACTCCTGTTGTTGCTTCATAAAAATAAAGTTAAATATAAATACAATCTATCCAGTTTTCAAGGTGTATCAGTGAAAATGGAATAGAAATATAATATAAAAGCAAAATCTTTTTGATTCTTTATTAAAAACTTCTTCAGCTATAAAAAAATCAAATTGAATTAATTCCATTTCTTTTCAAATTACTTAGATTTGGAGAGAGAGAGAGAGAGAGAGAGAGAGTGTGTGTGTGTGTCTTCATAAACACTACTGTATTGTAATTAGAAAATTCTTGGGAATTTTGTAATCCTGCACCTGCAGGTGTATAGGAATGCTACAGGTATTTCAATGATCCAAAACTCAAAACTATGCTTTAATTATGCTTATTTTGGTTGATTACATACATAATTCTGGGTTAGAAGAATTCTTGGCCAACTTGCATTTTATGGCTTCTTGTAAGTAACTAAAATTATTAAGAGCTAGGTATAAGTACAGAATTGATTAAACATAAAAATGATGATAATAAAACTGAACATAATAGTAATATCTTACTTTGTATCGAATCAACTGTCTTCTTAAAAATGAAAATACGCAAACACGATATGGAACGTATTTCACTGATACATACTGATACATACAAATGATACAGACTGATACAGTACATAGATTATGTCTGTTTTCTGCTATCGTAATAGGCTGTTAGTCTTTAAAAGTGAACTTCATGCTGTGTTAAAGTGTAACCACCTTGTGACCAACATATTTACTGCTCCTTGACCTAACCACAATCAAGGGATGATGTCATACCACCTCTTGGTGATTTGTATTTCTTCACACATGTTTAGCAGATTTCTTTTATGTAAACTATTCATGATCGCTATGTGTTCTTTAAATTTCCTTTTGTATATGCCCTTTATGCCCTTTTTTATATATACTGCTGTATTGTGTTTCTTGTCTATATTTGATATTGATTTTGTGTATTTATTTTATTTTGATCAAAGTACAGCACACAGACTTCATTACTTAAAATTAAAAATAAAATTTTACAACTAGAAAATCTATGAAAATTGGTATGCCTTTAAAAATAAAAATTAATTATTATTATTTTCTTTTTTATACTAATAAACATATGCATGTATTAAACTGTAGCATTTTATTATTTAATTTAAAAATAAATTTTTTATACAGTGGATACGCCCGATCCTTATATTATATTGCGTGTTCCGGGTACACCCAATGGAAAGAAGAGAACGGAGATGTTTAGTAATACCATAAATCCAGTATGGAATGAAACTTTTAATTTCATTCTTGATCCAGGCAGAGAAAATATTTTAGGTAAAATCTTTAATAATTATACTATAATTTAAATTTTTATAAGAACGAAAAATGCATATTATTATCTGAGCATTTCTCAACATTGTTTTAGTTGGCAATACTCTTTTAGTATATCTTTAAAGCTTACATAAATAAAATAAAGCTTGTTGCTGGCTTCCACATTGTATGTGTCTATGAAATTAAATAATCATTTGTGTATCAGAGTAATGTAATATGTTGAAAGTTGAATGATATTTTTAAAGGTGCATACACTATAGAAGCCAAGATCTTGCTTAAGTTACAACTCTATTGATGTTTCATTTCATTCATAATACAAACACAATGGTTGGAAAATGTCATTTTAATAAATATAAAATTATATTATTATAATTTCCATTTGTTGTTTTCTACGCAGAAGTAATTTTAATGGATTCAAATTATACTGTCGATGAAAAACTTGGTGTACAAACAATTAATATCAAAGAATTAGAGATTAATAATGAAGAAACTTTTACTCTTACATATATTGAGGTAATGTTTAAACAGAGCTTTTTTAAATAAAAATTAATAGTTTTATGAATAGTTTTAATAATAAAATTTTGCTTTTTTTAGCCAACAGAGATAACAATTAAAGTATTGCTGGTAATTGAGTAAGTATTGCATTGATATACGTACAAAAATAAATACAATTTATGTAATCATAATATAATTGGAATGTCTTATCGGTAGTCAGAAACCAGATTTGAGATTTAGTTTAACATTACCTGAAAAAGAAAAGTCTTTTATGAGGAAGAGGAAAAAATTTGTAATGGAAAAATTAAAAATATTGTTAAAAGAGAGAGGACCACAAAATGAAAAAGAGGTAGTTAAATACATTTTAGTTTTATTTATTAATTTTTTCTGTATAAAAAAATTTTAATCCATTTTAATACACTCAAGTAAATGTATTAAATCGTATTTAAAATGTCTACTACGACTTATTTTATTAACAGGACTTATTATAACAACATCTTTGTTCAGCAAAAGTTAAGAAAGCCTATCAGAGAAAACAAACAGTCTTTATTTTTCACCTGTTTTACAGGTGAAAAATAAAGACTGTTAATAAAATAAGTCTGAGTAGACATCTTAAATAATAAGTGTAGTTTATGTAAAAAAATAAATAATATTCTTTTTAAATTAATTTATTTAGAAAATTATATCAAGTGTTTTATCTGAGAAAAATTATCCATTTTCAGAAATAATTGCATCTGTTTATTTAAAAGCTGTATTAACCATCTATAAATATAACATAATCTTAAATTAGATGGAAGAAAACATAAAAATACAATAAAATCTAATTCTTTAAATCTAGATGGCTGGAAGGCCAAGGTAGTTAAGGCATCAGCTTAGTAATGTGGGGAACCTGGAATTGAATTTAGGTGAGCGATGTACTGTACCAAGAATTTTTTGTGTGTGGTCTGTCCCAGATATTGTGCTCATCCCTCACCTCCTGACTAAACCTACAATGAACATGGAAGAAGACGCTCTTAGTGCTTACGGTGTCAAGAGTTAAATCCGAGAAAAATTCTTTAAATCTGTACTTTACATTTTCTGAAGACAAAAAACTACTTCTTGAGATTTTTTTTAACCAATGATGTAAAATAAACAAGTAGAACTATTTTATTCTGTTTGCTAAATCAGTAAACGTATGTTAGTGTAAGTTAGCCAGCAAGATGGTTAAATTATCAACATTTTAATCTGTTATACTGAGGAATCCAGGTTTGAATTCAAGTTGGAACTTAGAATTTTTCTTGGATTGACTGGCCTGAATTATGATCTCATTTCTTACAATTTAACTGATTCCACATGGATTCAGTTAAGTGAGTAAGGAACTAAAGCCATTTTAATGTCCATTACTGTATAAATGTTTTTTTAAATTATACTCATATATAATTACAGTGTGTGCCTATATATTATATATATATATATATATATATATGTATGTATATATATACATATATATACGTATGTATGTATTTATATACATATAGTATAAGATGTTCCCATTTAAAAAAATTTATCAAGCTTCTCTTGACTTAAAAAAAAAACAAACAAAGATCAGTGCGCGAGGAATGTATAATTGAAAGGACCCGTTTTATTAAAATGATCAAAATAATGGCAACAACAATAGCGAACAATGTTTGGTTTTGCACACAATACAAAGAAGTAGTCCACTATGAAGAGAGCCTCGATATACTGGTACTGTACATCCATGCCACATTGGTCTCGATAAATGCACAAGGCCACGAATGGCCCTAAATCTAAATAATGTACTCTTGTAGTGTATCCAATATTAATTTTTAATATCGTAGTTCCATTAGCACACGCACACGCACTGCACACACACGCACACTTATGAGCTACGGGTTCCAGCCCGATGCTTGGGATGCAGAAGTTTATCTGAAAGGACGTTTCTTGTCCCTTTTTGTAACTTTCCTTTCGTGAGTTTTTTCTGTTTCTTTAGCAAAAAGTTTCGATGGATCGTCTGGCATCTTAGGTCCGGGTTGATTCGAATGAATGGTTAAATAAGAGAATCCTCTTTTGATAAATGAAAAACAATGTCTCTTCCCCTTGTGACGATCTGGTTTACCTTTAAGTGGTTTGCCTTTTTTATTAAAACCCACGAACCAGTCGGAGTTATAAAGTGACTGAAATTTGGTATACATGTCTGGACTGAGTACTTCTTTAAATAAACACCTTTTGTTTTCTCCTACAAACTATAAATAAATAAATAAAAATAAAAATTAGTCAACAATATATCATCGTATTATAAATTTAAACAATACTTTCGCGATAAGATTTATTTAATTTTCAATTCCAAAAATACTTTCTCAACTAAACAGGGTTATTAGTATCATTATCAATCGATTTTAATAGGAGAAAAACTATCAATATTTAATGATGTCATCCAATGTCACTCACACGATATATAAAAATCATCTGGACGAGTCAATGACACAATCGATAACAACTCGACAATTTTAGACTTTCCAAATACTGTATTTCTTTATTTAACTTTAGAAATATTACGTATCCATATAAAATGTGGTAATAATTTATCTTTAGGTTTATAAATTACGCATTCGTCTAATATTTCACATCACTTTTATATTCACGTGACGGAAAGATGGCACGTCAACTGACGTCAGAATACCAAACAGTAGAAACTGTCAATATTTGCAAAGATAAATCTAAGTTAAACTTATAGAGATATATGGAAGGTAGCAACTGGGACTTTTTGTTAGTTTCGTTTATATAAAATCATTATTATTTTACAAATAAAAGCATAGGATCACGGACCAGCTTCTCCTCACACCACAACCTCAAGGTAAAATGGGGCCAGGGGCTGGGTGTTGATTACTAATAAAACTCGCTTATTTTTTTATAATGACAAATTCTTTCCTTCTTTTAATTGAGCTGACGATAAAAATTATCCCGATGCTCTTTGATCGGTTACAATGGAGGAGATTTTGTGATGACGAAGTTAAAAAGGCCTCAATTTCTATGTAGAGCCTTGGGCAACCCATTTTTTTTTCTTTTTTTTCTTTTAGAAGTCAACACAGGGATTAAGAAAAATAGAAATGAAACGTTAGATAAAAGGAGCCGTAAGGGGGAAGAGGGGAATATTAGATTTACGAACTCCCTTTCTTTATCTACTGCCTCATCGAGGTCAGATTTCGGTTAGTTATTGCATAAACAAGATATCTGTAAAGATAGCAAAAGAAAAGTCGATGTTATGAAATCGTAGAAAAATTTCTAATTTATACTCACATATATGTAAAAATAAAAAAATATTCAATATTTTTTCAACTACAGACAAAGACTGACCACAAATATAATCTTATCACTCGGTGTGGTCTTTAAAATCCAGTTTCCCAACGTAATTACAAGGAAGTCAAGGTTGCAATCTACTGTTAAGAACTACGTAATGGTTTTCTCCTGCAAACATTACTATATTTTACTCCAATTAGGAAGGTATCTAACTTCTATACAGGAAGTAGGGACACTATAGATTACTGATGTTAGCGTGCAAACGTGTCATTGTGCAAACAGTACGACAAATTGTTACGTCTCTCTTAAGGTAGTTCTACAACTTCTAGAACAATAACTTTCTGATCTGACATTACATTAAGATGATTTCTTTCGTCCGTTTTGTATTATTCATAAGTTGACGGATCGTAAATATTCATATTTTTTAAATACGGAAATCTTTTTTTTTTATTTCTGTTGGAATATAACGAAAAGTTGCGTTGTAGTATGAACTACGCTGTAATCTTGTTTATTATTCAAATAAATAAATACTTAGCCTTACTTTTATTTCTTAAATACGCTTAAAGGAGAAGAAAGAAAATAATTTGGACGAATTTCATATAAGATTTTCATAATATTTTCAATGTGTTTATAGTTTAAATAATGGAGTCTAATACAGAATTCGAATGTCTATAATACACTACCAAGAAGGAATAGTAAATTTCGAAATTATTTATGGAAATGGCCAGCGGAAGAAAGAGATATCCTAGGAAAGAGTGAATTGGTATTATTGATTTTACAGAGACTAGAAAGATCGTAGGTGATATAGTCTTTTCTATCGTCCACCATCTTTTTCTTTAATGGGGTTTTGGGGCTTTCCTCAGGCGTAAACAGCAAAGTAAGACATCTCTGTTTGACAGATTGCTGTGGTAGTCAAAGTCGACGCCACGTTTGTCTGCTGGCTTTTCTAATCGCCAACCATCGGCAGCGATCACGTCTGGCCAGGGTTAATGGTGTTTCGGCTAGGGTGGTCGGTAAAACACGCCCAATACCCTTACATCGGGACTTTGTGGGACCAAATAATAAACGACCCACTCCGAGAACAAATAATGGACTCTGCTAAGTAACTATCTACCGTTCGACCAAGTTAAGTAACGTATATATAACAGATTTTTTTAATTGTATCTCTGAATTTGAATTTGTTTGATAAAGATCGAGATTCTTACCCTTGCTATGAGTTTTCCTCTTTTATTAAAACAAAGGTAGCGGCCAGAATTCAAGCCCATTATTTTCAGTCCTATGGTATTTTTTCGCACCACTGTCTCAAGACTCATATTGGCTAGAGAAAAAAACAAACGAAAAAAAATCACATATTAAAATAACATTTTCACTTATACAGTGTATTTATTATGTAGATTTATATTATAATCTAAATAGTATAAGTTATTACGAAAAAACCTCAGTACGTTCCTATACTTTCCACCGGTAACAATAAATTTATATTATTATTAATCACTATAACATTTAAAATAACTATAATCAGATAGGAAAATATGAATTTTTTTCTTATTAATCCTACCATAAATTCTGAATAGTAAGTACAGCTTATATCAATAAAATTACTATTCTTTTCTTAAAGTAACTGCCTGGTTTTTTTCCTTATTTATGCAAAGTCATCGCTAAAAATCCCTACTAAACGATAGGAGAAAAACCGAAAAAATTCCTTAACAGCAAATTTATCTTACAGACAGCACGGGGTCTGTTATCCCTACCCCACTGAGAGGATAAGAAGTAGTGTCCCAACGCTAAAGACCCCCTGCAGTTGATTATTGATATGTGGTTAGTTGTAAATTAAGTAAGAAGATAATGGAGGACAAGTAATCGCAGCAGATAAGACTCATCCACGACCTTGAATACTTTTGTTTACTTGATTAGCGGCTCTGATTTATAAATACTACCAGAAATACATATATCATTTTAATAAGATTTTAAAACTCTCATAAAAATTCAATTGGATAACACTAAAACATTATTTTTACCCCGAGGCCAACGCAGGTGTGTCTTTTCTTAATAAAGAGGCAGGTATTTTTTAGGCAGGTGTTCGATCAATAATTGGAGCAGAAAAAAAAAGGGTAATGATTGATTTACTATATTTAACTATATTAAGCATATCATAAAACTGTATAAATTTTTAGTGTTACAAGGTCAAACTAATCAGTGAATCATGCTAAATTTACACCCTAATTTTAGTGACTAAAGCCGTGCAGTTTTGTAGAACCACCCATTCGTTCAAGTTAGACGATTGGCAGACGTAAATTATTCTGACCTTAAACATTTTTTTCTGCTTCGATTTTGCTCTATGACAGATGTCATGAGCTATTAAAAACGTTACGAAGTGTTATTACGATAGGAATTTAAAATAGTATCGCTTCCAGCGGAATGTCTTTCAGAGATTGGCAGAGACTGAGATTTTTCTTTGCTACTACTTCCAAGCCTTCGAGCATCTAATTGGGGCCTCGAAGGCTTCAATTTTTAATATATATATAT